CCACCCCACCCCACCCCACAGCCCCTGCTCTTCCCTCCCCACCCGCAGCCCCACACAGCCCGGAAGGGAAGACGGAAGGGGCTGGATTTAGCCCCAGCATCATGTCCTGCTGCAGCTCCACCCCGGCCAGCTGGCACCGGCTGCAGCTGCCTGGAGTGGGTGCGGGGCGAGGCGGCTCCGGGGCAGCAACAGGGACAGAGCCGGTGTATGGGGGTGTGGGTATATATAGGTGTGTATTTATATGTGTATATATCTATATGTATGTACATGTGCGCGCGCACATATATAGAGATCTATATGTATATGTGCATATATGTACATGTGTGTGCATGCATATATAGAGAGATCTATATCTATGTATGTATATGTGTATGTATGTATGTGTGTGCGCACATATATAGAAAGATCTATATATCTATATCTTTGTATATGTGCATATATGTGCGTGTGCATATATAGAGATCTATATTTATGTATACGTGTATGTACGTGTGCGCATGCATGTATAGAGAGATCTGTATAGCTCTATCTTTATATATGTCTATGTGCATATATGTACGTTTGTGTGCATGCATATATATAGAGATCTATATCTATTTCTATATGTATGTATGTATGTATGTGTGTGTATGCATGTACATGTGTGTGCGTGCATATAGATATAGAGATCGATAGCTATCTATCTACGTATATGAGTGTGTATGTATGTGTATACTACTAATTACTTCCATTTGATGACATGTATGTGTATACATGCGTGTGTGTGTGTGAGTATGTCACTGCCAGGGCCAGGCCTGCTGCAAAGGGTAGAAATATGCCCCGCCTCCCAACTTAACCCCTCCCTTCTGGCCTGGGGCAGGCACTCATCCAGGAGGGCAGGGGGGAGCATTGCAGCTCCATCTCCCTTCCCTCCCCCATTTCACTGCACCTTCGCAGCCAGTGTTGACTCCATCTCAGTACACCAAAACGCCTCCCCCTGCCCCGAATAGGGATGGAGCAGGGACTGACTGCAATTATTTGTGGGTTTGAAGCTTGGAGCTAAATTCCCTTTCTTACGTCTTTGCTTTCTAGCCCTTCTACCCGGAGAGCTGGGCCTATCTCGGCTTTGCTTGACTCCTCAGCTCCTTGACTCCCGAGTCGGTCCACACACAGCGTTACTGCACTGCAACATCCGCACGTGTAGACGCTGGCTTAAACAATGCTTACCGCGCAGTAACTTACTGTTACTGCCCACTCAGGATCATTCCACCTTTTAGAGAGCCAGGACCCCACCGTTTGTCTGTGATGAAGACCTCTTCCTCCAAGCTTACACAGAATGAAGGGACAGTCACCATTTTCTTAATTATTGCTTCTCCCGATAGTCCTCTGGTCCCTCTAGCAGGCAGGGGCATCCTCCCACCCAGGGGCTGTAGGGCACGTTCGGTTGGTGCCGTTGCAAAATCGTGCAATTTTCTCTCGTCGCTCAACGGGGACACGCCAGGAGCAGCTGCGACGTCCGTGTTCCCAACCACTCCAAGCGTGCGCCGCTCACGCTCTGTCGCTGCAGGGAGGCTAAGCAGATATCGCAGCGTGCCTTGTTGCATTGCTTCCTGAGACAGCACGGGGCGAAAGCACCAATGGCCTGCCTGGCTGACACCGAACCTGGCCCGCCTTCAGCTCCTGGGGGAAAGCTGAGGTTTGGGCAGCTGGTGGGGTCATGAGGGAAACTGAGGCAGGGGAGGCTAGAGGACTGAAGAGGAACTGAAGCAAGAGGGCCTTAAAAGGCTTGTTGGATGGGGGTGGGGATGAGATCTAGAGAAGCTGGAGCATGGTGGGAAACAGGCTTGGAGGGCTGGAAAATGAAACACGGAGTCTGGAGGGCTTGTCGGGGGAAAAATGCTGCAGCGGGAAACTGAGGAACTGAGCCTTGGGGAGCTGGTGGTCTCATGGGGGGAAACTGAGGCACAGGGTTTGCAAGCTTCATAGTTTAGCAGGCAAAGAGGGGGCAGGGGCTGGAGGGCTCAGGGCATGAACGACACGCATCCCCAGAGGTTGTTTTTTTGCAGGGGGTGCACCGCCACGCTCAGGGGGTGCATGTGCACCTGCATGCACCCCCTCTGTGTTGCCAATGGCTCAGAGGGAAACGAGCTTGCAAGCGGTAATGGAGGCATGGGGTGGGGGAATCTGGGGAAACTGAGGTACAAAGAAACCTTAGCACCGAAGCTGCAGGGCTCATGGAGCTGGAGGGATCATTGGGGAGTAACTGAGCTATGGGGAAACTGAGGCAAGGGGGGGCTGCAAGGCTTGGCTGGGGGAGAAGGGGCAGATGTTGGTTGCAGGGCCTCATCCTGCTTTTTTCCTGCATACCTACCAAGTGGGGGATCTATATTGTTGCTGATAAAAACAAGAAAGCCCAGACTTGAGCATCTAACCAGAGTCGTACAAGGGCATCGAAAGCCATTCCTATCCGAAACAGCACTCCGAACGTCTGATTTAGCCAGCCCAGCTAAACCATTGGTAAAGATTCATCCTGAATGCTTCACTTAGCTGGGGCGGGGAGGGGCGGCCTTCACCAGCAGCCCCTTGCATCGCCATGCACCCAGTCAAGGTGCAGTCGTTAATGATTGCACCTCTGCGTGCACGTGGTTAATGATTGCACGGCTGTGATTGTAAAGCTGGGGCAAAGGGCACATAATGCAAGGGAGTTGCTGGGGAAACTGAACAGCTCCCAGGAGCTCTCCAGTCCCCGGCTCCGAGGAGTGAGGATGCTTCTGCATTTCTAATGCTTGACCTGGATGCTCAATAAATTGCTGGTTAGCTGTGCAATAAAGCGGTGCTCTTGAGATAGCAGCGCTCTCTTGCTCTTCCGGGGCCCTGTCTCAAGAAGGAAGCTCTGCTTGGTCCAATTTGGAGATAGCGGGCTTCCCTTCCTGGCGTCCCGCTCCCCACCCTGGCCCTATGCACCACCCCAGCTGGGCAGTGCCCCTGGCCCCAGCCCCACGCCCTCCCTCACCATGAAGGCCTGACTGTTCCCTCTGCATAGACTTACCTGCAGGGAGCTGCTCTGCACTGCTGCCTGAGCCTGTACTCCCGGCCACGTGCGCGTGCACGCACATAGCGCCCCCCACGTTGCACTCCCCCAGCCCCAAACCTGCCATTTCCCACGTGTTTCCACGGCAAACAGAAAACTCAGATCCCTGCATGATACTGGGAATCTGGGAAAAATGCTGCCCTGGAGGCAATCAACCTGGGATTGGGACTTGATGTTCCCATTTCAGAACTGTACCCCCCAATTGCAGCTGGGTGGTCATACTCCATGAGCCCTGCCCCATGTTCCCTGCAGAGCCATAGCCAAGCAGAGCATCCCGCTATGTACTACCATTTCATTACGTGCCTCCGTGCAAGGGTGCCCAGTGCCAGTGCCTCACTAGCACTGCTCGTGCTACAGTACCGGCTTGCTGGTGCAGACTGGGTATCGGACACCACCCATAGGGGCTCTCTGAGCTCTCCCAGTCCTGAAATATTCCAGTTGTGTACTCTTTGGAAGCAGCTTTCCTGGAGACAGGAGCCCTGGCTCCATCGCCTCTGAGCAGGCCTTCCCATGCCGGCACCCCTGGCTATCTCTGCACTTGGGAGCAAAATCCTCTCCCCACAAGGCAAACAGGGTCCATTGTCACAAATCACACCTGCGGGCTTGGAGGGGAATCCTCCAGACAGAAGTAGCTTTGGGGCTGGGGCTTGTGTCCAGCTCAGACATGGGTGCAAGGGGAGCTGGGATGCCTATTGCTGCTGGGAGCAGGTTGAACTGTTCTGCATAAGCACGAGGAAACAAAGAGGAATCGTTTTCAGCTCAAGAACATTTCTAATCCCCAAGAACAAACCCACACGCGCACACACGTGGGGTAAATTGCACACACATGCTAAACCCATGTGTGCACAGACATGCATTCGAGGTATATTTCACACGCGCGCGTGAACATGCCTACACTCCAAACACATATACACACACACTCAAGGCATGTGCCTGTGTCGACAAACATGCACAAACCCTGGGGTAAACTTCACGCACATGCAAACGCTTCAAATATATGTGCACGCACAAGCGCACGCACACCCCACACCGAGACATCAATATATAGATACTGTGCGTGCAAAGGCCAGAGCAGGCCTGATCAGCGAACCTGAGCGATGCCTGAACTCCGCGCATAAGCTAAAGTTGCCACGTGGGCATACGTGCATTATTAACACCTTGTCTCTGAGACCACAAGTGCTTTAGGGCCGTGCCTTGTAGGGAATACACCTGGTTGAAACTTTGCCACTGACCTGAGCCTGTGGTCGCTCTTTAAGACAAGACTGGTGTTGGCATCGCCCAGCAGTGACTTTTTCAATCCCCGAGGTTTCATGCCACGCCATGTCTTCAAGCTCAGCTGGATGGAAACCAGCTATAAACTTGTTACACGTTTTCAATCACTCACTTCCTAGCTGGTTGCCTCTTTTTTATAGCTGGACAGACATTTTTATGGTGAGATAACTCCTTCGCCGATGTGGCGGGTGTACATTTTTTGCACAGTTAGGCAGTGAATTGTATAATATATGCAGGGATCCTCGTTTTCGCTGTTAAAAAAATCCAAGTTTCTCAGATTGAAAGAAAAAAAAATCTGATGAAGGCGCCCAAAATCCATGTTTTTGCAGGATTACAATGAAACACCGCTATCTAGATATATATAGGTATCAGTCAAACACAACGTTTTATTGATATATTTACAATTTTTAAGCAATTTGGAAGCCTACCAGTGCCTCAATCATTATAATAAAATAAATTCTAAATACCTATATAGTTTGATTTTGTTTTTGTTTTTTTCATTATAGAAAAATCAGAGCTCCTCTTGCCCCCTTCGCTCACCAGGATGTGGATTCAGTTGCAGATGCGCCCCCACTGATTCGGTGCATTGAGAAGCCCTATGCTGGTGCCTCCCTCCCCAACCCCTGACCCCCCAGGCCCTGCCCATCCCCCTATTCACTCTCTCCAGGCAGCAGCTCCCCCCTGCACCAGGACATGGGTCCAGCTGTGGCTGTCCCCCGTGCCAGCCTCGCTGTTCCTTCTGCCTGTTGGCAGCAGTAAGAGCCAGGTTCCAGTTTTGGGGGGTCCCAAATAAGTTTGGCTTTGGCTTGTCCCCCACTTAGAAACCTGGGACAATTAAACTGGGGTGTCCTGACTGGACAAACTTCTCCCCTGTAAGCAATGGATCAATAAAAGCCAGATTTATCGTAGGACAAAGGGGAAAGGTACCCAAAGTACTTAAGCTCCAGCCCCAACTGGGCTCCCCACCCTCCTCAGCCCTCCTGAGGCTAATCGCTCATTCCAGGCCCCCCCTGGGCCCTGCTTCCTGGGCCGACTGGGACCTCCACCGCCCCTACAGCCCTCCTTCCACCAGATGTTACCTGGCTGATGGCGGACTGTCTGCTCCGCCTTCTGCCTGGGGTTATAAACCGCTAGCCCCATTGCTAGAGGGCACGTCACCATCCCAATTGCCCGCTGCTCCCCCATAGCCTGGCTCCCAGAACCCAAATCGCTCCGAAAGCGGCAGATGCCCCGAGTGCCCGACCATACCCCACCCCTTGGGGAGCTTCTACCAAGCCCAGGCGGTCTGGACTTGGGAGGTCCACCCAAGGCGGGTGGGGAGCCCTGGGACCCACCACCCTCTACCTGCCGCACTAACTGATTGGATGGGAGGGCCACAAAAAGGGACCCTGGAAGTTGCTCTGGGGGGCAGCTCCTCAGCAAGATGCTGGAGTGTGCTGGTCCTTGCTGTGATGTAATCTGCTGCTGGGGGTCCTCGGTGAGCTACTGGGGTGCACCAGTCCTTGCTGCGATGTAATCTGCTGCCGGGGGGGGGGGGGGGGGCGTCGGGGAGCTACTGGGGGCTGCTGGCACTTGCACCCGGTGCCAGTCACTGCACACCCAAGCTCCTAGTCCCAACCCACAAACTGCTTGGAGCAGGATTCAAGACTGCAGAAGAAAAACTGGCTGGCTGGGCCTTTCAAGTACAGGGGTTAACACCTGTAAGGTATTCTCCCTCTTCAATAAACAGAAAGTCTTCAGGCTAGCCCAGGGCTCCGACCCAAACGCTAGCTACGTCGGTTGTTTTTTTAAATGCACAGAAAATGTCCTCACTTTGAGTTAGTCCGGGTTGTTAAAACAGAGCTGCAGCATTCCTGGCACATTTTCATTTTTCAGGCATTGGAGCTGAGCACTGAGAAGAGCCCCGAGTTTGCTGAAACTTCTTTCCACGTCAGCTGAATTGACCGTCAGCTGGAGGAGAACCACCGCGTACTTCGCCAGGCTGGGAACGCGATCTTCAGCAGCCATCCAGAACTGAATAGGATCCTCGATGTCTGCAAACCCGTCTTTGACGATCCCCAAATACACCGGCCACTCCATGTCGCATTCGTTGGACAGCTTTAATTCCAGCTTCACAGTTTCATAATCTGTATAAACGGCACCAATTTGTTTCGGATCTAGCGCACGGACAGCACGGAGAAAATCAGCTGCTGGCTGTTTACTTTTCACGTTGTACTGTCTCAGCTTATCAGCGAGGCTTTGAGCAACTGTGGACCCTTTTGCATTATCCGTTGACGATGCCAGATGCTCCAGCCACGAAATTAAATCCAGGACAGTGTTGTACACTTCATGTATTTGGCGTTTTTGGGACTGCAAAATGTCCAGGCCTGTCGCCAGGCGTCCACAGCTCTCTGCAATGTACTTCAGGTCAGTGTGCAGGTCTTCTAATGCTAACAGGCTGGTCAGTTCCTGCAGAATAGATGTATCCCCTTGTTCCGTTCGTTCCTGCTCCACGAACCCACGGTAGAGCTGGTAGTACCGTGCATGGTACTCCACACAGCTGAACCATGTTTTCCACCTGGTCACAACTGGTTCGGGTGGAAGTGTTGGTGAACCCACACTCTGTTCCTTCAGGTATCTCAAGAACCGTGCACGGCACGCTGGAGCTTTCGCTAGAAGCGACTTCATCAAAGCAACAAAGCGATCCACTTGCTTGAAGGCATCTCGCCAGGTATCTCCCGCCAGAGCAACTATATGGGCGTAGCAACATATGTGTACACAGTTGGACCACAGAGTGCAAAGCACGTCGTTCCAAGCCTTCGCCATGTAGCTCGCGCTGTCGGTCACAAATGCCAATATTCGCTCAAGTGGGATGCTGAATTCCACCATGCAAGAAATCAAGGCTTGGGAAATGGTGGCATGATTCACTTTCCCCAGGCACACGGTCTTTACCAGCTGCAGCGCGGGAATGTCGGCATGCCTCGGAGGACGGACCTTGAGCACCTGAAATAAAATGTTGAGAACTGGTCTATTTTGGAAGTCGGTTGTTTCATCGGCGATCACGGCAATGAAGTTTCCCTCGAAGTCACGAAGAAGGCGCTGTTTTTCCTCTTCAAAAAGAGTTGGGAGGTGGGAATGCAATTGGTCTGACTTGGGAATGGCACTGCCTCCCTTAATGTGCTTGCTCAAAAAATCCCTGACAACAGGCAAATCCATTTTATGCAGAGGAAAGTCTGCTTTCAAGCACATTCGAACAAAATCCAAAACGAGGGTGTCGTGGTGGGCTTTGGCAATTGTAGGACACTCGAGTGCTGCAGTCCCAGTGCACTGTTTCTTTACCGCGGTTGATGAGCCCATTTCGGCATCTTCTCTTTGTCTCTTTTCATTCCTTTTATGCTTCGCGCTTTCCATGTGCTCGACAATGGTCTGCTTGCGAACGTGGTCTATAGGCTTGCTGCACGCCGTGCAGAACAGCACGGTCCCGTCCGTGTGAAACTTATCCTTGCCGAACTGAGCGACACGTTCTTTCGGGGTGACTCTCGCGCTCTTTGGCATCTTTTCTAGACTTGAATGCGACGTGCGGGGGCTGAAGTAAAATTGGAGAAGCATCAAAACATGAGCCCGGATATGTAGGGACCGACTCAATTTGCAATTGCAATTTTTTTTTTGCCCCCACAGAAAGCACAAAAATCAAGTGTTTTCCATGAAAAAAAGGAAGCAAACCGGGAATTTTGTTGGGCTTGGGGGAAAAAGAAAGGGCTTCCTAGTTCCAAGCGGAGAAGTTGGGAAGCCTACAAAGTGTGGCAAAACCTATGGGAGCCTTGGAAAATGGGAGTGGGGGCAACACAGGGCTGCCGGGTGCCCAGGGCACTGCCGGCAAGGCTTGCAGCAGCTGTGATGGGGCTGCACCGGGGCAAGATGCCCAGGCAGAGCCATGCCCCCACTGCAGACGCTGGCAAACTCCCCCCATCTGCACCAACCTGACCAGGGGCAAATTCATGCCTGACCCCAATGCACTGCAGGGTGGATTGATTTGAAATCAAGGCGATTTAAATCACGGATTCAAATCACCAAGAGAAACCTCCCCAATTTCAATCTTTGATTTAAAATCAAGTTTCCCACGGATACTTCTTCACATATTTCTTAAACAACGGTGCAAATCTGAGCACTAAAACATATGCTCAATACAGCATTTTACACCATCTGTCCTTCAAATCTTTTTTTTTTAATTTTCAAATGTTATCAACTCAAGACAAGTCGTCACAACACTACCTTAAAACTTCTGCAACTAGATCTCATCTTCCCTGCTCCCCCTGTCATTATTATTCATAGACTGGAGCAGAAATGCGAGTTGTCCTACTCTTTCAACTCCCAGGTGATTTCTTAGCTTTGAGTGAATAATACCAAATGATGGAAATGGTCTCTCTGCGCCTGCCGAGGAAGCTGCTGCTGTGAAAAGTTGGCTTGCCAACTGAAGGACCTCTGCTTCAAGGTGCCTGGCTAATGATCTCCACCAATTCAGGGGAGTGACTTTGTCCAAAACATCATCGTTAAACATGTACTGTTTAAATGGGTCCCCTCCAGCCCTGAAGTGTATTATGAGTGGCATAACGGAGGGGTGATTTTGAGATGCCCACGCCATGGCAGCAGCATCTTCTGCAGAAGTCAGGCATCTCCCTTTATATCAGGGGTGGAGAGCGTTTGCAAGAAAATGAGGTGGAGTTAGTGCTTGATCCATTCGCTTCTTCATCGCCTCCAGTTTAACTTTCTGGTTGGGGATTTCTTTCTTCAATGTCTCTTGAAGTGCCTTCCAGATCTCGACAGCATCAGCGATGCAGCAACACTCGCTCTGAAGTTTGCTCAAGGCTATGGATATAGGCTTCAGTACACCGAGCATATCCTCTACACTCCTCTTGAACCCCATGTTAGATACTTTGGATGAGATGCGTCCATCTATTTTATCACGGTTTTCTTCACAAATTTTGATGAGAACAGGCCGGCTCGTAATGAATTGTTCCAAACAGTCAACCGCAGCACGCCACCCAACATCGTGCGGGAGAATTGGTTTGCATCCTCCTGCTCTCTTCAGCGAAGCCGAAGCAAAATGGTTGTTGCGAAAGTATTTTGCGACTTCGACAACATCTTCTTTTATGTCTGGAGAAGCACCTAAGTCTTCAGCTAAAAGGTGCATTAAGTGGGCACTGCAGCCATACGCTATTAAGAAGCATCCTTCCGTTTTGTCTTCTAGGCATCGTCTCATCTTCGCCACGTTTGCAGCACTGTCCGTGACAACGCTGCGCACGTGACAGTTGAATTTTTGTTCACAGTTTATTACAGCTCTCACTGCCACGTCTTTGAAATATTCTGCGGTGTGAGCATTTCCCGATGTATCTATTATTTCTGAAAGATAGGCAACCCCATCTTCTGTTCTCACACAGGCACATATTACTGGATCGTTGGGTATATCGCTCCACCCAGCCAGGCTTAAACTGGCAAACTTCCCCGCGGTATTTCTTGCACACCGTTCAAGTTCCTTCTTGTACACCGTATCTAGCAACCGTCCGCCCACGTCTGCTCTACCAGGTGGCGTGTACCCTGGCCGTAAGCACTCAACCATCTCGACGAAGCACGTATTGTGAACAATGCGAAAAGGAGAATTGGTGGCATAAATGAACCGAGCGATCTTTTCATCTATGGGGTCCTGTTGGCATTTGCCGGTCCTCACCACAAACCCATCCACGGTGGTGGTTTTACTGGATGATTGAAATCTTTTGCTTGCTACTGATACTTTGTGGTCTGAAATACGTTTAATTGCAGCACTGCTGCTCAAGGGACCAACGGATGACTCTGAAGTTGTTGCGCATAGCCAGTCAAAGTCTCTTATGCTTAAATGGGATCCTGAAACAAAAATGATTTTGGAATAGTCATTCTTCTCAGTTCTTCTCACGCCATTATTCAGTTAATCATTTACAGTTTTTTTTTTTCCAGCAAGGATGCCGATCCGCTTCCAAAGGACCAAAAAAGCTAAGGCTGACTGCACTTAATTTTGCGCTTCATTTTGGAGCGAGCCCCATTGAACTCACCGGCACTTCTGTTTTTGGAGAAAACAAGGATAGGATGGGGTTCCCTTGGGAAAGCTGAGTTATGCGGAAGTAAAATAGGGAATAGACTTATGGCATCACCATTATGGTCCGGGGCCATGATGGTCCAAAGTAAGGGGCATGTCTTATGTCGTATAAAATAAGAAAATGACACCCGGTGGTAACCGGCAACTCCCGATTTCTCTTACTGCAGCTTTCTGTACCAGAAACTGGGGTGATAAGAGTCTAAACCTAGTTAACTAATTAAACAAGCCATAAGGAATAGCCAAGCTAAACTTTTTTTTTTTCCTAGCAACATCCAACGTAGCAAACAGCTTGGGAATTTACTTGTGAAACCATACTCCTACTAAAAGGCAGAGAGAGAGTCTTGAAGACGGCTGCATTGCAAAGCGAATGATTTAATTTACTAACCAGTTGATCCGCATTGTTCTTCGGACACATCCACGTCTTCATCCACATCATTTTCTCCCCATAAGCAGTTGTCACGATGACGTTTCATTCTTGCGACTAGGCCCTGCATCTCCCTCTTGCACTGCTTACACTTGGCACGTTTTCCTTTTTTACCCAGGGAAGGAATTTCTTCAAAATATTCCCAGAGAGAGTCTCTCTTACGCCCAGAAGTCAGGACTGTTTTTCTGTGGCAAAAGTGTGGGGGAATATAGGAAGCTGTGTGTGTGCGCTACTGAATCATGTCTTCCCTTTTTCCTTCCAGTCCACTCCACCGCTCCTTTCTACTCTGCCTCCGTCCTTTCCTACATTGTCTCTCCATCTTAACTAACTCCTCTGCCTTGCTTGGTCCAGCTCCACCGCCACGCAAGCGCAGAACAACTCTCCTATCCAGCCTGGGTCTTTGCGCCTGGGATTTTAATCTGTTGAGAACCAGAAACCGAACGCCCAAAACTTCCAAGAAGCAAGAGCTGGTCGTCAGGCTGGACAGACGGACTAGAGCCATTTTCCTGAGATGAAAAACCGAAACGAATGCCCGTGTTTGGTTGGTAGGTAACTCGACGTGTGCGAGGGTGACGGAGCCACCGATTCATTTTTATGAGACGGTAACTGTAGGTTTAGCATGTTTGGGATGAGATTTAAGTGCAAGTGTTCTTTTTCAAACTAGAGAGAAATTTAGGAGTCGATCGATGATTTTAAAAAAGAATAATAATAAAAAAATCTGATTTAAATTAAAAAAAAAAAAAAAAATCAGATTTTCTTTTAATTTAATTTTTTTTAAATCATTGATTTCTATCCACCCTGCAATGCAGTGTTGGTCTGACCTCCAAGCCAGAGGGGCAAGACCCTGTAGCCAGGCTCCTCCAGGGCTTAGCCTCAGCAGGAGCATTGGCACGTCCCCGACCGGTGGCTGACCCACCTCTTCCTGAGCCCCTGCACTGCTGGAGAGTTCACCGTTTTCCTGCGTGTCCGGTCCGCTGCCCCTTGCTCCAGCTTGGGGTTGGTAACAGCAGCCTCCCAGGTGCTCGGCTCTTGGGGAAGAAAAAGGAGAAAATAAAAGCAGCAGCCTCCCACCATGCACTTCTCCCCCAGCCCTTGGTAGAAAAAGAGTACAAACCAGCAGCATCCTGGCCCCACTCCTGCCACCCCAGCCCTGCATGGTGCCCGCACGCCAGCCCTATTGCCCAGGACCAGAACAGAACTGGGGCCATGGGGAGCCTGCAAAATTAAGCCCCAAACTCTGCAAATTAAACCTGTTCCTACCGATCATCCAGCACTGGGCAATCAGGCCCTGACTCTCCCCCAGCCCTGGCACCGTGACTTGCACCTAGCCCCAGCCCTGTCAGTGGACCTCATTCTGATCCGCAGACCCCAACCCCTCCCAGAGAGGGCCACCAGCTGCCCCCAACCCCCTCTTTACCCCAAAGGTGGCAGGAGGCAAAGCGAGTCTGAGCCAACCCTCGCTGGTCTCAGATTCTCAGGCCCTGGCCCACCCCGTCCAGGCAAGACTTAGGGTTTCGCACCCTTTTTGGGAGCAGTTCTTCGCAGGCTAGAAGTCTGCCAGCCTACGGAGAGCTGTTTGCAAGAGGGAAAAAATCTGCTTTTTTCTCCTTGAAAAGGGAGAAGCCCAGCAGCCACGCGTGGGAAGTAACGATTACATCATAAAAATGGCCATCCAGCTACGAAGAGAGCAAACAAGCTGCAGTTACTGCTTGAAAATGTGCAACAATCCCATAGCTGGTTTCCATCCAGCTTTCATTTCCACGCGTAGCAGGGCCTTTCCAATAGACTTCCATGGCCGTGATGCTGGAGATGAGCCCCAATGACTCGGCCTTTGGTTGAAAGGGAAGCCACGGACATTACTCCCTGCGGGATGCTGGTGCTCCATCCGAAGCTACACAGTAGAGGAGGAGGGAGCAAACAAAGCCACTTGCTCCAGGGGCTGGGGGGTGCCACAAGAACGAGCAACATCCTGAATCAATTCCCAATTCGCCACAGGTTTTCTGCTGCTGGAAAGGGCAGAACCGCCACCTCTTACCTGCCCCTCGCCAAGAGCCTCGTCTGGGGAAGCAGCCCAAGGAGCTCTCATCGGCTGAGTCCCAGGTCTCATCTGTGTCGGGGGAATCTGCAACGGGACAGAGGTTAACGGTCAATAAAAAACAGTCCAAAGTCACTGGGAAAACCCACTGCCCGGACACACGTACAACAGCCTGTTCTTAGGCACACAGGGCTCGTGCCTGACAAGACAAAGTGGGAGCGACTGGGAGTCCAGCGCTGATGGTGGACTCAGCGTAACCACAAAATCTTGGACAGGTTGGGAAAGTGGGCAGAACGGGATAGGATGCGGTTGAACAATGATGCTAAATGCAAAGTGCTGCCCCCAGGGAGACAGAATCACCAGCGCGCCGACAGACTGGGAGGGGTCTTCCCAAGCACCGCAGCAGCAGAAAGGGATCTCGGAGTTATAATTGACTCCAAAACGACCACGAGTCGCCAATGCGACCAAGCGATCAGTAAAGCTAACCGCGCTCTTTCATGCATTAGCAGGCGCATCGCGAATAGGTCGAAGGAGGTGATACCGTACCAATCATCATGGGGCAAGTGGTGAATATGCACGTAACAAAGGGCATCAACTGTTTTGGAAACCAAGGTGTATTGACTACTAGACGGCTGGGCTATGAGACAACTCTTGGCTGGTTACCTGGCTCTTGCTGGAACAGGGGCTCCTCTTTTGGGACACAAGGCAGCTCCTCCTGGGGCCCGGGGGTTTCACCCCATTCGGCCTCCTCCTTTGGCACGTGCCCAGGATGGGGCTGAGGCTGCTCCAGCCCCGAGCAGAGAAATCCTGCCAGTGCCTCGGGTCCCTCCTTGAGCTGCCCATTCCCCGTGACCTGGGGACAAGACAAGCACGTCACTGGGAGCTGGCAGAGACGGGGTTGGGAGGGAACATCCCCAGACACACGGAGATCAAGAGGAGCATAGATGCAAGCATGACACTCATTTGGGGTGTCCTGTCCTCCGCAAGCCCCAGCCAAAGCCCCTCGGCCAGAGTCACAGCCTCGGCACAGGTCTCCACATCGCGCCCCCACGCCCAGCTCTGCAGGACGGCCAGGACCTGCTCCAGCACCACCTGCTCCAGCATCTGCTCCTCGCTCCAGCCAGCGCTTGCAGAGCTCCCGCAGGTGGGTGCAAATCTCCCGCGGCCCCTTAAGCCTCGGAGCAGAGACCCGACCCCAGAGCCATGCTCGGCACCATGCCCCAGCACAGAGACGCTCACCCGCCAGCACAGGATGGGCTCCTCCACGGGCTCCTGCTTGACCACGGGGGCTGCCGGGCATCTCGGGGACGCCCGGACAACACAAGGGGCGTTCCCTGCTCTCTCGGCTCCCACCCAGGGCTCAGGGTCCGTGGGGTCTTGCTCCTCCACCTTCACCACGGGCTGCACCGGCGCCGGGAAGGGGAAGCCCGCGGCTGAGGCCGGCTCCAGCTCCGCAGCCATCTCCTCTGGGTGTCGGGGCTGCCCCCCGCCAGAAGGGGCCAGTGGGG